AGCCTAGCAACTAATGATGTAACCAAAGGGATATGGCTTGCACAGATGCAGAGTAACCTCTAGGCACTCAGGGAACACATAAATGTCCTATGATTCCAAAGCAGTTTGGAAATGCTCTGTTTAACCTACTTTCCTTTCTTCTTATTTAATATAGAAAAAATAGTTGTACTGTAACAAACAGCAAGGATTAGAACAAGAAGGAAAAGAGAAACTATTTTTGGTCCACATGTTCATGAACATGAACGTGCATGATAAATTCTGTTCAGCTGCTGTCTGGTCTGAAGACCCTCTGAACACCCATCCAGTTACTTACTTCATACTATTTGATGCTATGTCCTTAACAATTATCACAGATGCTGTTTCTGACAATGAGTTCTTGAGAGATTTTGTACAGTAAGTTATGTGTGAACTTACATAAGTTTCTTCCTCAACCCATGTCTCAACTCTCCTCAAATTGCTGACCTTATGCTCTCTGTCCCCAAGTAAATATTTTTTTCTAAAAATTTTAAGAAAAGGAACGGAGAGTGGGAGAGAGAGAGAGAAGAGCACTGTAATATTATGAGGGTTGAACCTGCAGGCAATATCATCCAGGTGAATCAATGACTGACTGATGAAATTTGCTTAAAGGGCAATAATGTGATAAAAATAAAATGAAATTCATTTATGATTTTTCTATATGACCTATCTATAAAACAAGTTAGAGTTAAGAGATGGAAGATCGTGTTAGAAGTATTACTTGGCAGTAAGACGCTTGGCTACATTGTACAAGGCCTTGGATTCAATTACCAGGACAAAACAAGGAAGGAAGGAAGCTCAATTTGAAGAAGAGGGGTATTTTATTTTGTACGATTCCAAAGTCATTAATAATCTACTTTCTGTCAAATTATTGGAATAGATATAATTTTGATTTTAAAATAGGACCAAATTCACTAGCACAAGATTTGATAGCAGATTTTGTTTCTTTCATTTTGGAATTTCCTTTCCCTCTTCCTGCAGGCCTGTAAGCTGTATAGGGCCCCTCAGAGCCTCTGAACTCCGATCCTGTAAGAAACTCTTCTCTCCTGTTTACTCTTGTCCCAGATTCTATGCCATAGATATAGGCCTCAATGACAGGGGACCCTTTCTCCTATCAATCTCTTCCCCAGTCCCCAAACATACTCAGGGGAGGGGCCTTCTTTTCTTTCAATAAAATTATTTATTTATTTTATATCTCAGCCACAATTTCTTCTCTCTCCTCTCCTCCCAGTCCGTCCCCCACACCCCCTGTGTTCCCATGCCCCAATCTACTCCTCCTTCCTTTCTGTTTAGGAAAGGGCAGGTCTGGGGAGGCCTTCTTAATGTGTGCAGTTATACAACTTAAAATTTTCCTCACAGTGACAAAATAGCTGAGAAAATTAACTCCAAAAAGTGAAGATTCACATTATGCTCACATTTTAAAAGGTTTTTGTGCACAATTAACCACTTGAACTTGCCTGGACCACACTGAAGCAGAACATCATGATAAAAGGGTGTGAAGAAATAAAGGGGCTGTGCCCAGGAAACAACGAGACAGAGAGAAATTGGAACAAGGTCTAGCCTCCCAAATATGGCACAATTACCACTTCCTTAAGCTGGGTTTAAACTTCTAAAGTTTCCACAGTTCCAAAATAGCATCACCAGCAGGGGTCGAAAGCTAACACATGAGCCCAGGACCATTTCCTATTCAAACTCTAAAATCCCACCCCTGACCCCCAAGGCACATGTCCACTTCACAAAGCAAGAGGCATTTAGAATATCTCCAGGAGTCTTCAAAATGTCTGCAGTTGCAACATTGTTCTAAAGTTCAAATCCAGTATCTCCTGAAATTAAAGGCTGTATTCCTCCAAGATACAACAGTACAGAGTGAATATTTCTGTTCTGAAAGGGAAAAAGGGGTGTGGGGTATAGAGAGGAGAGATGGACCAAAGACCAAAACTCAACAGGGGAAGCATTAATGAACATAGATCTGGGAAGAAATGGCTGTGCACACCAATAATTCCAGCACTTTGGAAGTTGAAGCAGGAGAATTGTGATTTTGAGACCAACCTGAGCTACATAATTATACTTCCTCCTCTGCCCCTCCCCGTAAAGGGGTTTGTAATTGTGCATCCAGTGTTCGGGACAGGTAGCGTCATAATTCAAAACTACAAGATCCTGGGTGGCCTTATCCCTACATTGCCACCTGCAAGAGGCACTCTACTCGGCTTCTGTCTCAGCTGGATCCAAAATAGCTTTTCTTGGCGAACATTCAACTTTTCTGGAATCGCTAACTTCCAGGGGTCTCCATTGTGTCCTTAGCTTCAAACATTGCCCTGTCAAAGACTTCCTACAGAGATCCTGGCACTCTTATACACTGCCTGGCCTCCTAGGTTTTCCTTTAAAGTCTGGATGGAAGCTTACATAACCCTGTAATTCTTGCCTTTTACATGCCTGCAAAACCAGCATCTCCTGGATGGTACACAAGTCAGCCCCCAGCTCAAGCAGTAGCTCTCCTTTGAACCCCCACACCCACCTCATTTAAACCATGACTACAATTACTTCAGAATACCTATGCAGCTGATCCTGGGAAAATACTTCCCTAGGCTATTCAGTGTGAACAGTGTTCTCTCAAAGGAAAGTCTTCTACATAAGTTTACATGTTCACTATTTGGCCACAGATGGCTTTGTTGAGTCCTCGGGTCTCAACAAGCTGTCTTCCCTATCATTCCAGTCCATTTTAATTGCCTTTTTTAAAATCATGCCAACCCCTTCAACATTTTCATCCTATGTATGCTCTTCTCTGGGAAAAATCTAAGCTTTTCTAACATTTCTGTTCTTTCTGCTTTGTATTCACAATTTTCACTCTAGAGTGATTCAAAGTATCCAGCAATATTTATGCTACACCCAGAGTTCTAAATTGCTCCCACTCACCTACCACTAAGTTTCAGTTTAAATGTCTAAGTAACATTAACACCTGTTTTGTTGTGTCAAGTTCAAAACATGCAACAAGGATGTCCAATAGTTGATAAGAGAAAGTTTAGTACTTATCTTTATTTGTTTGTTTGATTATTTTTATCTCTCACCAGACATGGTGGCACATGCCTTTAATTCTACCCCTTAGGAAGCGGAGGCATGTAGATCTCTGTGAGTTCAAGACCAGCCTAGTCTACAAAGTGAATTCCAGGATAGCCAGAGCTACACAGAGAAACCATATCTCAAAAAACAAACAAACAAAATTATCTCGTACAGTTCTAGAGATTTAGGATCAAGCTGTTGGCAGATCTGGTAAGACCCCTTTCCTTCACAGATGATTCCTTATTGGGTGGTTCCATGAAGGAAGGGATTGGATGTTTTTGAAGGCAAAGCCCTTCTGAGCTTACAATGCCCCAAAGCCTTCATTGCCTAAAACCAACAGTCTGGGAAGTAGTATTTGAACATATGAGTTTTCAGGGAATCCAAACATTCAGAATATAGCATATTTTGACATTTTCTACATATTTCTACATATGATTCACATTTTTCACAGTAGAATAATTTACCCTGTCTCCTTGAAGCTTTCTTTATGATGAAATATATTTGACAAATCATAATAATCAAAAGCATGGAGTAATTCTCTTGCTGAGAGAAAACATCACACTAGTAAACAGAGTTTCCACAGATGCTCTCATGTAGAAACTATCTCAGCACATCCTTCTGAATAGCCACTTTCAAATCTCAGGGGATACCTCAAAGGTTTAGTTGGTCCGCTGGGAATGGCTAAGCTAAATGGCTGCCACTCAGCAGTTCCCACAGTCCCTGTGGCACAGGACAACAGGCTTGTTTTCTGTTGCAGAGATGCTCTATTCATTAGGTTCTCAAAAGATTCAGCCACAGCGGGTCTCAGCAGTTGTGCTAGAGGGAAAGTAGGTTCTGGGTGACCTCACTTTGCTGAGTAAAGAATTTAGCTTAGAAATGACACACACACCCTTCCTGCTCACAGTTGACTTGCCTAGATCAGTCTTGTGTGTCACAAGTCTGTCACACGAGGGCAGGAAGTATGTTGTCATCGTATGTCCAGAAGACAGGAGAATCAAAAGCATTGGCAAAGAACTCCAGTGATTTCCTTACTAATACCTGATATGTCCTGGTGTTGAAGTTGTGTCTTAAGTCTTGGGGATGACTATGCCTTGTTGCTACTCATAAGATAAATATGAGTGCTCATCCATGCTGTTGGGCCACATCCTCTGACTCAGTCATGCAATACACAAAATGCAGATTGCAAAATGAATGTGGGGCTATTGGTAACTTAATTATGAATTCAGTAAAGTTCTTTGATGTTGGTCTTTGTATTTCTCTGGTTCCAGGGACTGAACCCAGTAGCCATTATTACTAATGTGTTCTTTTCTCCATGGTCTTAAACATAAGAATTGTTTACTTAATTGCTACAGTAAGTGAAGACTAAAACCTAAGATGGAAAATGCAGGAAAGTTCTGATGTATCTGAAAGAGAAAAAGATGTAGAGAGCAATATTTACTTTATGATGTTTGTACTATGCATGTGTATATATAAACACATAATAAGATACAGAACTCTAATAGCATTATGTTGTTTGATTTCTAAACATTTCCATGACACCCAGTAATTCAAAGTGTATTTTGCCTAAACTCTGGTAAGCTAACTCAATTAGATAGGCTATCATATTTCCTGTAGAAAACTGTTCTTAAATCTTCCTAAAGCCTTTGGCCATTTATGATTGGAAGAAGTTACTAATTTAGATTTCTTCCTGTAGCACAATAACTGTGCGAGATCTTCATGTCACCTCTATGGGTTTAAGTTATGTTTTAATGTAAAATACAAAAGGTTAATTACTGTTCAGAACCTGACGCTTCTGTGGAAGTAGCTGCAAGTTATTTATTATCCTTCCTCTAGTTAATTATGTTAATTGTGGTGGATTTACAATGTCAAGTGTAAGAACATTAATTAATTTAATAAGCACTTTTTTTTTGTACTTTCTTCTGTTTCAGTTGATCCATCTTTAGTGAATAAGGATGAAAATGCCATCTATTTATTGGGAAATTCCCTTGGCCTTCAGCCAAAATTGGTTAAAACATACCTGGAAGAAGAGCTAGACAAGTGGGCCAAAATGTAAGTACCAACCTGAAAAGTGTAATTCCACATCTGACAGAAGAACTTTGAAAATTACAAAAGGTGTCTAATTTGGGCAAGTTATGCCCAAGCATTTTAGGACTGAAGAAAATCTAATTGACCATAATTATCAATACTACAATATTTTGAGGAAATGACTTGGGGTCAGAATAAGGCCAAATTGCAAATTCGTGATGATGGGAGTGTAAAACAACATATTTAAACATTTAATCTCCTTTCCTACATCTAAATCAATGTAGCCACTTTATTTTACATGCTTAACCACCAGCAAAGAAGTTAATTTATGACTTTGAGTGTTTTACGATTCATTCATGTCTAAGCTAGCAATGACATCAAAAAATATGGAAGCCAGGCTTGTTAAGATAACGTTAGGTTGGGGGGGACGGGATGGGACACAGGATCATGGATACACTGAGTGAGATGTATCGCCTGTTCTTAGCATCTTTAAGCTCCCACAGTTTCTTCTTGTGTAGACAGTTAAAAGACGTCTATTTCCAGGCTTTCTATATATGAATTCTTACAAGAGCACCCTTTTTCATCCTGTGTTCAATGTATACTTGTAGTCTTCTAAGGACTAACCCTTCCTCTTTCCACCCTTCCTGAACCCTCTTCTGTAAACTAGCCTCCTCAGCCATATGTCACCTCTCCCAAATGTCACTACATTAAAAACACATCACTTTCAACATTTAAAACTTTTTCATTAACACCCAAGAGTTGTACATATTGATGAGTATATCAGTGTGATATTTTTATTTATGTTTATAATGTGTACCAATCAATTCAAGGTAATTGAGGTTCCCATCTAGTTATCACAGCTTATTGTGAATTATGATGCCATCAGTTTTATAAAACACCAGAACTTATTGCTTCTGTCTAACTGAGTTCAGTTGCCCATTTTTAACCCTCTGCAATTTCCCTTTGAGTAGACAGCTTAGAGATATCTATTTTCATCACTTTCCCGTTCTTAGGGAAATAATCTGGTTTTGTGTATCTTCTCTCTTTCCATAGTAATTACTTATAAAACTGAAATGAGATATATTTGTTAAGTACTTGAATGTTGTTGTCTTATTGTTGAATTGTAAACACTTGAGTATTTTAAACAGCTCCAAAACATTCTTTAAATGTTTTCTCTGATCATTTGAAAAATAAAAAAAAAAAATCATTATGGAATTGAGCCCCACCCGATGGTCAGGAAACATTTCAGAAAGATGAGGCCACATTAAATACGAATTCTGGTGCAGGCCATTGTTTTGTGACCTTTCCACCTTCCTGCTCTGTCATACTGGGAGCAGCTTACTTCTTACCACCTAAGTGAGGACAGCTACCATGACTGTCAGGTAACGCTGCAAAGCTCTCAGTTTTTATGGTTAAGAATGAGAGCTCTCAAATTAATACAAGAGTGATGGAAAGCTGATATAATTTATTAAGCATGTTATAATTTCATCTGCCCGACTTTTATGCGCAAGTTTCAAAATACACATCACCACATTTGAGAGCATTTTGGACTAACAGGTTTTAGTATTTAATAAATGAGGGTCACAGTTAATAAAAATGGTCGATATTCATGTCGGTCCTTAATGTGCGAGAGCAGAATTAAATTGGATGATTTTGCACTTTTGGAAGTGTCGTCCCCCCTTGAATACTCAGGCAGCCAGGCTTTGCATTTTTATGCTCTAGGTATTTAAAAATGCTGCCCTGCTGCTCCATTCACTCCACAGCATACCTCAGGCCACCAAGGGACCAGCTGAGGAGTGTTGGGATGTTAAAATGATGTTTCAGGAAAGTGCCTGTCTCTCAGAGCATCTTCTATTGTTGCATTTCACTTTCATATTTTACTTTGTGAACGTAGACAAAGCCAGAGCCTTAGTTAGATCCTTCCAATGCTCATTAGACAAATGATTCAGAGAGGAGTGCACTTTATGGCAGGAAGCGATGAAAATTGAATTAAAGGCCTTTTCTCGGCAAAAGAGATCCACCCATTTTTGCTTTGGTTACTTTCCTTTCCCTTTCCCTCGGCCCTGGGGACATAGTCAACCTTGTGACCTTACTTTCTCCTAAACAGCCGCAGAGTTTCAGATGTAAAACGGTTACACTTCTGTTCCTTCCTCTCTTCCCCGCACATCTTTGATCCCAAAACAGTTCTTATTTGTTTTTTTTTTTGCTCCCCAAATACTTAATTTGGAACCTCACTCCTAGCTTTTTCTGTATGAGACTCTGTAGGAAAGAATTTTTTTTCTTATCAACTTAGCTCCAAATAGGAAGAGGGCCTGCAAACGTTTTGACAGCTGCGAAAGTATTGAGGGAGGAAAGGTTTTCTTAATGGAGGAGCTGGCTGAAGAGCTGGGCATGATGGATAACTGTAGTGACTCACAGGGAAACACAGGACACTGCTCCATGGGACCCTTCACTACTGTGCTGAGTTAGTGAGTATCCTGGGCTGGAAGCTTCCAGGAAGGACAGCAGGAAACTGCCTTTGTCCCTGAGTTTGGGTCCATGACAGCCTTCCCTTGAAAAGCCCTTAGTCAAGTTCAGACTGTTTCTTTTTATAAAATCTTGCTTTGTGTGCACATGTTTTCATCTAAAGGACTGTGGTACTGTGGTAGACTGTCCTCTCAGTTCCCTTTCCGATGACCGTTCTGGTTTCTATACTAATCTCCCCTTGTGCTGTTTGTCGATAGATCTGGGACTTCCCAGTATTGTGGTAAGCTTTTAATGGATGTGATTTTACTCTCTCTGCATCCTCCACGCCCATGTTTGTTCCCAGGCTGAACCTCAGGCCAGGACTGTGCCTCTTTCATTTGACCAATGCAAGATTCTCAATTAAAAAAAGCTACAGGCACTATTATTTTTTTCCTTTAAAAAATTAGGATATAAAGTGATAAGTTTCACTGTGGTATTTTCACACAAAACTTAGTTTTGTTGATCCTCCTTCCTCTACTTGCCTCCCCTGGCCTCCTGCTCCCAGGCTTGTGTCATGCCATTCACAATAGTTTCCTCTCACCTTCCCTATCTTATGTATTCTGTTGTTGTAGTCCTCTACTTCAAACATCTGTCATCTACTATACAGCCTCTTTTCTAGTTTCATGACCTACAGCCACATTCACGTTCCTGTATGGTCTCACGCGATAGAGAAAGTGCAATTTTTCTCTTTCTGAGTGTGGGTTGTTTTGTGTACTATAATGATTTCCAGATTCCTCATTTTAATATAAATTTCAAAATTTCATTTTCTTTATAGCTGAATAAAGTTCTGTCATATGTATGTACATTTTCATTGTTGCTCTCTCGACAGATATCTAGCTTAGTTCCTTCCTATAGCACAGCAAAGAATATGGATATACAAGTATCTCCATACATGCTACAAGTCCTTTAGAGTAGTCCATAAATGGTATTAAAATGATGAGAAGCAGGAGAGGGGGCCGGTGTCTTTGAATACGGTGGAAACATTCTCACTCACCTCAGGTGGGCTTTGACTCAGAAGTTAAAGTGCAAGAAAATCAGGGTCACACAAAATGTGTGCTGAGTCAGTGGCTCACAAATCAAAAAGAAGAAATGCACAGAGCACAGAGGGTGACTTTTAGATGCATGTTTGATTGTAAGGAGTTTAGGACCAAAAGGGTCAGCATCCTACACAGCAGGAATGCAGGAGTGAGTGCATCATTCAGCTGCCACTCTGGAGGCTAGGGAAGGACTTAAGTAAAAAGTGGATGCTATGAGGCAGTTAGGAGAGGGTGCACTGCTCAGTGAGTCCCATGGGCCTCCTCTCAGTTCCTGTCAAGTCTAGGCAGGGCTGCTCATTTAGAGGAAGAGAGAGAAAGAGAAACCAGATCAGGAACCAGACTCCTTTGGGATTTCTGACCTCTAGCTATGACAGAACCAAGGAAAAGAATAAGAACTGGTTTGCTTTCGTGTCTCAGTCCCTAAAACTACCCAGCCAGTTTCTGTCTCCCTTCTCCCATTCTTTTCCGTATAACTGGTTATGTGGTAGCGCTACTTACAATTTTTTGAGGAGCTTCCATGTTGATTTCCATAGTGGATGTCCCTTTCCCTTACATCTTTGCTAGCATCAATTAATGGGGGATTTATTAAGGAAACTCCACATAGTTAAAAGGGAGGTTTATTTTGAAGTAACTTACAACAAGTAAAGGGATAGGTTACAGGATCCAGGAGGAAAGGTGAGGTGCAGTCCACCTGGGTTCTCTGGAGACCTCTGCTTGGTCTACCACCCAGCATCCAGGATCACCAGGAACCAAGAGAGCTGGCACATCTGAATCTTGGGTCTTAAAGCCTTCCATCGTGGCCCTGCCTCAGGACCAGGTCATAGGTAGGTGTGACAGTTACTGGAAGCCACACTGGGGGTAGTGCTTCCAGGGTAAAGCTGGAAGAGCTATCCACTACAATTAATTGTCATATATTTTCTTAATGATGGCCATTCTAACTGGAAGAGATGAAATCTCAAAGTAGTTTTTATTTGAATTTCCCTGATGGATGAGTAAGTGAAACAGGATTTAAAATATTTGTGGGCTCTTTGTGTTTCTTCATGAGAACTGCCCAGTCCTCTACAGAACTGCCCAGTCCTCTACGCTATTTACTGATCAGCAAATTTGGGTGGAGTTATTTAAGGGGTTATCCAATTTTTGAAGTTCTTCATGTATTCTAGATATTAACAATGTCTAAAGTATAACTGGTAAACATCTTTTACCATTCATCTTGCTGTCCATCCTGAAGGCTGATAGCTTCTTTTGCTATGAAAACTTAAAGTTTACTAAATAGTCTAATATGAATTAAAATTTGTTGTCTCAGTAAAGACAATATTAAAAAGCACAATCTTGCCGTGCAGTGGTGGCACACGCCTTTAATCCCAGCACTTGGGAGGCAAGGCCAGGCAGATCTCTGTGAGCTTGAGGCCAGCAGGGGCTACAGAGTAAGTTCCAGGAAAGGCACAAAGCTACACAGAGAAACCCTGCCTCGAAAAACAAAAC